TTGGCAGACAAAAATCAAAATTAAGTTCAGCAATCAGATTTTCATGGTTATATGTCCATAAGTTAAAACACAGAATATGGGCAATTGTAATGTTACAAAATGTTGTTCTAAACTCTCCCTCTTCCTCTGAAGCGACCACCACGGCTCCCACCTCTAGCTCCAACTCTGCCACCTCTTGAAGCACCTCTTCCACAAAAAGCTCCACCTCCACGGCCCCCACCTCTTCCACCACCTCTACCTCCCCCACGGCCACCTCTTGCAGCAGGTTGTGACTGGCCCCTGGAAACAACAAAACAGGGCGCCGTTTTAAGATTTATTTGAATGAGAGGTAATACAAAATACATAACAGAAATAATCTACTAAGGCAAGTAGATAATTTATGAAGGGATATAATTTATCAGAAAGCCATTGAAGTCCAACAAGTAGAGGGCATGACACAAGGTAGTTCAGCAAATTAATTTGCAACAAGCCAAGGAAGATATAAATTAAAGCCTAAAGCCTACTACTGTAGACCATGTTGCCCAAGTCCCTGAATCTGCTACACATCCATCCAATAAAACCAAACGCAATTCCATTAACCAGTCTCAATGCATCCCCACTTTCATTGTTAAAATGATCCTTAAACAGAGTGCTTATTCATGTCATCAACCTCGATCAGTCTTCATCCTCCAACTAATACCTACTTTGATATGAATGGACAAACTATCCACATTTGCTAAAACCCAGGACCAGAGGAACACATCATATAAATTGCACATGGAATTTGCTGAGATATGTTCAGAACCAGCCAACCATGTTTTGAGTAGAACAATTGAACTAATAAGAAACAGTAGACACAAAAACACTAGGCATGAATCAAATTTTGGTGAAAAAGACCAAATTGATTTAAACAAGGGCTCCATGTAACACAAAAGATAAGAATAGTGGACATACTTTGGTTGTGGAAGAAATCTTGCAAGAGGCAAAAGCTTGTTTGGGTCAATGTAGAACTTATCACCCGGCACACAAGAAGTTGCTACAATCCCTTCTAACATTTTGATTGAAAAATACTGCATCCAAAAGAAAACCCAAATCAATCTAAAACTGAACAGATGAATGCAAGGAATTAGAAAGCAAACAGGATTATGAAGGGAAGCAGACTTACAGACTCATTTATGGGACCGAAGATTTCATCAACTTTCCCTATCTGGGTCTTGTTCTGCAAATAGATTGGAGCATTAAAGTACGGTATTTTCTCATTAGTGAGTTTTGTCACTGCATCACCCTCACATGCATGAAGAAATGAAGAAATCTCTGCAGAA